ACAAGTTGAACGACAGAAAGAATTGCTCCAGAGTAGGGGGGACCTTTCGGCTGAGGCACAACGACAGGAACCCTGCCAGGTATGAGTGACTGTTCGGGGTCAACTGGCAGGGGGCTAGCTTGACGAAGCGTAGGTATTCCAACACGAAGGGATGAAGGGGAAATCTGAGACCCAGCTCCACTGAAAGCAGATGTACGGCAAAACAGCCCTCGGGGGCACGGAGGAGCACATCATCCGGCTTTGGCTCTACCACCTGCGCCGAAGGCCTGACCAAAAATTGTACCGCCATCATCTCCCCTCGGGTAGCTTTATTTTTGACCTCCAAGGCGGCCGTATTAAGGAAAGAATAGCCCTCGGGCAGTCCCACTGGCTGGCCAGCGTCGACGGCAGCTTGCTTCTTCTTCGGAGCCGTCCTCGTCTTCTTTCTCTTCTTCCCTGGGGCCACACTGAGGGGTACGACGTCGAGAGGCCGGGAGCTCCCAGCTTCGGTATCACACCGAGGAGGAGGGATAGCTATAGTCACCTTCAGGCCCTCCTTCTGGGCCTCGTCCTCGGCCACCTGACAGGCGATGGCAAGCTCTTCATCCGCGTTCACCTGCTCGAAGTCTTCGGCCTCGAGTTCAAGCCGAAGGTCACCCTGTATCGCCTCGGCTACGGCCCTATCGTCGATGACCGAGAGCTGCTCGCTTGAGGATTCCACGTCAGACGCCACTTCGATGTTCACTGAAGCCTCCCCGGAGATGTCTTGGGAATCACTAGCTGACGACATTACTTCTAAAAAGCGAGGGGTCGAAAATTCGTACACAGAAGGGTTCCTGAAGGGTCCTAAAGCCTAACCCTAAGGCCAAAAGCTAAGTACTCAAATAGAGCTAAGGCAGAAGGAGAACTAACCTCTGAGACTTGGTTTGACCGAAGGGCGGAGTTTCTCTCTCTAGAAATTTTGGCAGAGCTTCGGTAACAGTATGATCGCACAAAGGCGAATGGCCTTGGCCGGGGGTATTTATAGGTGCCCAGATCCGGGCTTGGGCCCAAAAAACCGGGCCCCCGGCAAAAGGTCATCATTACACGCCGCGTCTTCGCTCAACCGGTGACGCCGCCCACGGGCAGCCAACCATCACGCGCCACGTGTACTCCCCCTCCAACGGTCACATTACAACGGCTATATTCTGGGAACCTGGAGGTATGCCCCCGGGTAAACACTCCTTCATCAAATAAAGGGGTAGTCCCCGGGTTTCCCTCCTTCGCTCCACCTCACAAAGGAGACCCCGCGGGCTCACAGCTGGTGGACCACTCGGGTATCCTCCCCCCTACAACATATTAATTTCCGGGCAGCCCCCGGGGAATATCACTTCATCAACAAGCGCGCCCCCGGCACGCAGGAAACAGGACCCTTCGGGTGCTCCACTCATCAACTAAATAATGAAGGTCGTGAAGCCTTCGGGATCTTCACGGCTACTATCTACGTTTATCACGCCCTCAGTCCCATGGATTGAGGGACTCTACTTCGACACCTCCCAGAATATCAACGACGCGCCTTCAGCAAAACAACATGGAGCCCTCAGAATAAGGAGAGCCTTCGGCATTACCATTTTGAGCCAAGGTTTCACATTTTCGATTCATCGTTGGGGGAATTCGGTGCACTCTTTTTCCCTCATTAGGATTTTTTCCCACAGGGTTTTTCCTGATGAGGTTTTTAACGAGGCATCCCCCCAAAATGAAACGAAAAGCGTCAGCCTTCGGCCCGCAACAGCAACGCAACTGCTTCACTCCTTTTCACCACTTCGCAAGTGCCTCAAGGAGTGGGGGACTGGAGGACCCCTTCGGGAAAATCATTAAATTACAAAATGGTGAAAAATTCCAACAAACGGCAAAAGCAATCCCTCAAGTCCCGACATGTGGGTAACTGAGGGACTGCTTTCGGCAAGGCCATGCAAACAACGACTCCTCACCAACTTCAGAGAACAATGGGACAACATCAAAGGGCAAGCACAAATTACTCCTTTTCCCTCAAGTACCTTTCGGCAAAAGGAGCAAGGGACTCCTGATGGAGTATATGGCCCGGGAATCCCCGGCCCACAGACTCCTACTACTCCAAACAAGGCCCAACAGGCCCAGAAGGCCCAACATGCCCAAATCACGACGCCCAGAGTACCAAGCGACCCACAATGCGCACCAGGGGTGCCTTCGGCCCCATGGCCGAAGGCTCTAACTTTCACAGGAGGGCCAGGACAGCAAAACGAAGTTACTGGGAAAAACGTCAAAAATCAGTAGCCCTCGGCACCTGGAGCCCTCGGCACCAAGGGGGTCCCCAGTACTCGGAGCCCTCGGCTAGTCCTCTACAGCCGAGGGCACCCTGCCTGACATGATATCCACACCACATGTGTACAGATCATCGTGCCCTGTACAAACGTCCCATCCAACAGCCGCATTAAATGCGGCCACATGCGGTTGCCAACGCCAACCAGATGAGGTGACCTCTCGGCCAATGGACGCTTGACACGTGTCCCTGTCCGACATTTATTGCTATTATAAATAGCACCCCTTTTCCCCATTTGTAACCAAGTCATAACACGCTGAAAACGCTCCACACTTTATAATATACTTTCTCTCTCTATATTTACTTGCTCTGACTTCTCTCTTATTACTCCCCGTAATAACCCCTCGGATAAGCTACCCCCCGGGTACACTATCCATCAATCACTTTTATTATTTCAAATCGAAGTAATTATCATTTCAATAATTTTTGTACATGCTTGTAGACAAAGTATAACGCAAATGTTGAAAAGAAGCGGGCAGAACTAGGCTTGACGCAAGAAGATGACATCGATTCTGATGTGGAAGATGATGCGATCCTTGAGGCAGCTGGGGTGTACAAGGGTCGGCTTCCGTGCCTCGAGGCTGAGGGGCAACGTATTTTGTACGATCGCAGCGGCAGCGGAGCTTCATCATCTTCTCGATCTAGGCGGGGAGAAGATCCACGCATCGCCCAATTGCAGCGAGAATTGGAGGAGCAGCAACGGGCATTCGAACAGCAACGGAAGAATGATGAAGAAACAAGGGCCCGACTGGAAGCAATGGAACGGATCGTTGCCGGATATCAGCCTCCGCCTCAGCCTCTTCCTCGGCCGTACATGTTGCACGTTGAGCAGACTCCTCAGGTTCCGCACACGGGTAATATGGGTTATCACTCTAACTCCGTATATGGTGCCATGCCTGCAATGGGGTCGACATTCGGATCTCTGTCGTCTGATATTCTCAATCAGTTTCAGTCATCCGATGGAGGCAACCGGGGAAGCAACCGAGGAGGCAACCGAGGAGGCAATCGAGGAGGCAACTGAGGCAGCCGAGGAGGTACCCGACCCTTGGACACCGTGGATGCAGAAGAGGATCATCATCGTGACTAAGATGATAATGATGATGCATATGATTATGATGATTCTAATTTTTATCATAATGGAGTCTAACGTACGGGTATGTAATTACATAATATTGTTTAACATTGTATGAATTTTGTTTTTATAATTCAGTCTATAATAACATTTTTTATGTTTAAGATTGTATGAAATTTGTTTTTATTCTAATTGCTTTAAAGTAAAATTAAAATAATTTTTTATTTTTTATTTAAAATCGATTTTTTTAAAAAACAAAAAAACATTAGTCACGGACTAAATCCGTGACTACGTTTTAATCCGGAATAAATTCAATTTTTTTATTTATTTAAAGTCGATTTTTTAAAAAAACAAAAAACATTAGTCACGGACTAAATCCGTGACTACATTTTAATCCGTAATAAATTCAATTTTTTTTAAATTAAACTTAGTCACAGACAATTGTCCGTGACTAACATAAAAAAAATTAAATTAAAATTAGTCACGGATATGGTCCGTGACTAACGCGCCGGAGGGCTAATTCCGGTCAAGAATTAGTCACGGGCGCGGTCCGTGACTACACTTAGTCACGACCAATGTTCAGTGACTACATTCTAGTCACGCGGAATTAGTCATGGAACTAGTCACGGACAAAATCCGTGACTAAATGTGTTAGTCACGGATTTTTTACACTACGGTCCGTGACTAAGTCCGTGACTACAAACGATTTTTTTTTGTAGAATATAGGGTAAGAATGGAATGAAAAATCGGTATGTTTTCAAATAGGAGTAATATGATCCTAATTTGGAATAAAAACATAAGATGTTCTATTTTTTATTTTTGCCATAGTTTTACTCCTATTTGGAGTAATTTCTAATAGCTTTTTTGTAAAAATAAATTTCACTTATGGTCTTATGAGTATCGCACCAATTCCACAATTCATTCTCTTCTTTGACTTTAACCAATTTCAGTACATGACTATTGTTTTTCGCCCATATATAGTCCTTTTCCGGTGGTCAAAATGCCCGCAGATGCATCGATAATCACTACAAGAAAAAGTATTATTTGCGTCAAACTTTTTTGTGTCGACTAAAGTGAACGCAAATAACTACTCTTTTGCGTCGACAAGTGGACGCAAATGACATTAACTAAAATCCCTCCATCCGCCTTGTAGAATTTCATTATTTGTGTCGGTTTGGCGATGCTAAAAGTGTTTAGTTATATTTGTGTCGACGGGTGTCGACGCAAAAAACGAAATCTAAAAATTAACTCCCAGCCCAACCTACCGCCCAACCGAGTAGCCCACCCCTTACCCAAATACGCATAACTAAACAAGCTAAAGCTCCAAGTGCGCGAAGAAGAAAATTCGAAGCGAAAGAAGGTGAAGCGCTCAAGCGGCTAGGGCAGACCCTTCTTCAACCGTCCACATCGCCGTCAAAAACAATAGTCAAGTACTGGAATAGATAAAGTGAAAGTTGTGGATTAAATGTGGAATTGACATAAGACTCACCCGACCAAAAGTGGAATTAATTCTTTTTGTAAACCAAAGTCAGTTTTATCTTGTTGCGGAGTGTGCAATATTATCTTAACCACGAATTTTATAATTCCATGCATGAGCGAGTGTTTGCAACTTTTTTGCATCATTCTCATTTCTCATGATAGAGTATTATATATAGGCCCATATTTATTTATGTAATACTACGTAAATGAAGCTAAGGGAGCGAGCATGGAATATCTTCCTCTTGTGCTTTCAAACTATTATTCCTTGTTATTATTAGGCATAGCAGGGATTGTTTTTGCCTTCTGGGCCATACCACCCTACACGTCATGGCGCCGAATGAAATATAATCATAATAGTAATTCTTTAGGGAAAAAGTTATTGGATCCGCCGGAGGTGGCGGGTGCATGGCCGGTGTTTGGGCACCTCCGGCAGCTGAGCTCCGGCAAGCAACCACTGGTTCGAACGCTGGGAGCGATGGCTGACGAGTACGGGCCAATATTCAGCATCCGGGTCGGGATGCAACGGGCGGTCATCATCAGCAGCTGGGAAACCGCCATGGACTCTTTCTCCACTAACGACAAGCTCCTTGCCGATCGCCCCCCTAATTGTGCTGGTACAATCTTTCCCTTCACCGAACCAAGTTTGACCTGAAAAGTCAAACACTAAACTTAGAGCCCTTTGGGTGGCAGTTTTTTTCGGTTTATCGGAGTTATCAGTCAACTTTTTACCACGCAATTTTTGTTTTCAAATGCTGAAATGTGTAGTACGTAGTAATAATAATAAAGAGTAAGGTTCGAGTTACTTTTCCTGATTTTCTGTTTTTCATACGTCCTCCGGTTCTTAATGAAGTTTACACTTTGACTTCACACATATTGAGGAAATAAATTTGACTTTACTGTAAAGTACTCTGTTTGACAATGTTTGACACTGTTTGACATTGTTTGACACTATTTTGCAATGTTTTGGCACTGTTTTGCACTGTTTGGTGTAGATTTGGTTGCTAAATAAGGCAAATAAGGAAGTGTAAAGTTTAATATGGGACGACCCAAAAAGGAAAATGTAAAGTTAATTAAGAATCGGAGGGAGTATAATTTTTTCTTTATTTTTCATTTTAGTTATTGTAGTATAATTTTTTCACAAATCAATAGAATCGGTTAATGTAGACACTTCAACCAGAATTGCATAAGTTTTAGCAGAATCAACCAATTGAAGCACTTTCAGTTCTAGGACACTTAATTGTGGATAGGAATATAGGATGATGTATATAATAATCCTTTTAATTTGCTTATAACTAGTAATATACTATACGTACAATAATATCATGTTTATAAGTATATAATCACTCAATTTTCTAATTTGTCACTTTGAATCTATATTTGATCTGTACAGTTACTTTAATTTTATATATATCCGTTATATCGAAGATTGAAATTTTATACTTCCTCCGTATTTTAAAATTTGTTACACTTTCTTTTTTTGGATATACGTATTTAAAAATTTGTTACACTTTCCTTTTTAGTAGATTTTTCCATTAACAAGACTCAATTAATTACCCTTGTCTTTTCTACTTTTAATTTCTCTTTCATACTTTTACACTTTCTCTCTTATTTTTTACACCATTCATTATCATTACTTCTACTATTTCATCCTTAAATGGTGTGTCCATACTTATAGTGAGAACTTTCAAATATGGAGAGAGCATTTTCTATATTTAAATATGAAGTACTTCACTTTATTTTCTCTTTTCAAGTTAAATAGTGAGTTATTTTTTTTTATTTTTGATTGAAAAAAGTGTCAAATTGGCCCTTCATACTCTGTCCGGAAAGTTAATTATGCCCCGTACTTTAAATTTCATCAATGAATTCGTCCTACTTTGACATTTTCGTCAAAACCTACTTTTAGTAGGTAACCCGTTCGGTCAGCAGGTTACCCGCTGATGTGGCGCACATGTGGGGCACGTGTGGCGGTCAAGTCAACTTTTTTTCCCTTTTCCTTTTTTCTCTCTTTTTTCGTTTCTTTCTCCTTCCCCATCCCCCTTCCCTTCCTCTGCGCAGACCCATTTCTTTCCCCCATTTTCTTTCTTCCTTTCTTTTGGTTTTCCTTTTCTTCATTTCTGTTCTTCTCTTTCTCTGTTCATGTTCGTGCAGAAGAAACAGAGACGAGATCCAGTGCAGCACCACAATTCGATTCCAATAGCGATGTTCGCCGGGGTTCCTTCCAGGGCAGCCGGGGAGTTCGATTCGACCCTAAAACAGAAGCGGCAGTTTGCTCCCTCGCTGGAGCTCATTCCAGAGCATCGCCGGAGTTCGATTCGAGCGGAAAATAGAAGTGATGATTCGTCGGAGTTCGTTCAAGAGCAACACCGGAGACGGTTCACGATTTTTGAGACTAAATTCGAATTCTTTGGCTAGAAAGGAGTCTCCATATAAAGTTTGGGCAACTGGGGATGACTTTTGGGGGCTGATTTGTAGCTCGTTGGGACTTCTTCTGCTGGGACTCTTCCCGCATTTTTTCCTGCGATTATGAGTCACCTTGAAGAGGTGCACCTCCTCATATTTTTAGTTTAATTTTCCAAGCACCCTCCATTTTTGCGGCCACCTTTCATGTGGCAAATCTTTCACAGACCACCCGAGAAGAAGAATGGTGGCCATGGAAGAGAAAGAAAGAAAAAAGAAAAGGGAAAGAAAAAAAAAATGGAAAAAGAAAAGAAAAATTGACGTGGCACGCCACATGTGCCTTCTGTCAGGCCACATGTGCGCCACATAAGCAGGTTTTGACGAAAATCATAAAGTACGAGGATTTAATTGACGAAATTATAAGTACGAGGGTTGAATTTACTTTCCGTACAGAGTACGAGGGTCAATTCGACACTTCTCTTTTTTATTTCTAAATTCTATATCATTTTGTCTTTCCTACTTTTTTTTGGCAAAAGATAACTTAATTAATATTAAAACTGAGAATAAGATACAAGTTCACCATCATAAAGGCTCCACTGGGGTGAGACTCAGAGCTGGAATCGCGCTTACTAGCGGATCATCTCGCTAACCCCGCAATTTGGTAGACTTCATACACAACAATGCGGGGTTTTTCCAGCAAAGTTCTGAAAAAGTAAACAATCGAAGAAGTAACATAATCGAGTTTTTTCAGCCACTGGCAAGGAAACAGTGGTTTGACCAGCCTCCGCTAAAGGTACTTCACTTTTATCGTTGCATTCTCCTGCTACTGGCGATGCTACCCGGGCGGGCAGCACCGCCACTTAGGCCTGTCAATGGGTCGGGTCCGGGTCGGAACGAAGTGTTCCGAACCCGGACCCGCTAAGTTAATAATGGACCCGGACCCGACCCATTTACCCGGCGGGTCTGAAAATTCGGACCCGGACCCAGACCCAATGGGTCTCGGAATCGGGTCGGGTAGACCCACCCGCCAAGTATGATACGCACACCATTATAAAATTTGTGAAAATAACAAAACATGTATGTGAAATATAAAGCAAAGTGTACAAATTTAAAAGAAAAATATATCTTCACTTTTCAAAAAATATCAAGGTCTCTTATAGAAAATTAGTACTTTTATCTAATAAAGTATCGGTTATTGTACAGGCATATAGCTCCACACTCTACGTCGCTTTCTCTCGCACAAAAAAGCTCATAGAATAAACTAGAAATTAAGTCATAAAAAGATCTCTTGAACTACTAAGAGTATAAAATCATATGTAGTATTATATATGATAATGATATAATAATATTAATAATAATAGTAATAAATATTGTGTTTTCCTACCAAGCCCAATACACACTTTATCAGTATGTATTTATGTATTTACGGCCAAAATGAGCATTGGTTTTAGGGTATCTTACAATTTCGATTAGTATCACTTATATAGTAGTTATGTATTAATGTGTATATTTTTATTGAATAATCACAACTAATAACTTTATGTATTGTTATGTATATATGTATATTGGTTTCTATTTTATTTAATTTTTTATAACTAATCACTTTATGTATTAGTGCATGTGGATACAAATAAGAAATTGTAAACGGGTTCGGGTCCTTAACGGGTCGGAATCATATGTACCATACCCGACCCGTTTATTTAAAATACTAGCGGGTCCAGATCCGGGTCCGGGTAAACGGAATAAAACATAGACCCGTATCCATTAAAAACAACCGGGTTCGGGAACGGGTCCGGGTCTAGATCCGACCCATTGACAGGCCTACTGCCACCGGGTCCTCATCCACATTCATACTAGCCTGTGCCCCCACCTCACTATCCTTCTCAGTAGGGGTGGGCGCGATCCGGAACGGTCCGGTAAATTAGTAAAACCCGTAATGTATCCGTGAGGTTTTTAACGGTCCGGTACGGTCCGGTTCCAAGGATAGAACCGTTCAGTATCATGTCGTTTCGGAACGGTACAAAACGGTACGGTACAATGCCAAACACATGCTAAAATTTTTGAACAAATCTTGCAATTAGTAGATATCATCACACCAACCAACTCACATGAAATGTTGAAATAAATACAAGAAATTGCATACCTAGTACTAAAATTCACAAATACACAAATAGTGCAACACAACTAAGAAAAAGTATAACAAAACGATGACGCACGAGATACATATCATTAAAATTACTAAGTTCATGTGAAAATATAAAAACGAATATCATCAAATTGTTGAATATAATAAAAAATTATTGATATAGAAAAAATATAAAAAATTCAAATGCATTATTTTTGAACGGTTCGGTCCGGTATATTTCGGTTCTCAAAAACTAGGACCGGTCCCGTACCCGTTTCAAACGGTACGGTTTCGGTACGGGATAAAAATCCATAGAACCGTTTAAATACCCGGTATTCGGTTCGGTACCATTACGGGACGGTTCGGTACCGGTTCGGTTCGGGTTTTATGCCCACCCCTACTTCTCAGTGACCCTACGCGTTCTTGGTGCGCCCTAGGTTGTAGCAATCTCCTTCCCCTTTGACAGGAGTCCTTCCACTATATAGCTTTCCTGTTCCTTTGTCGCTTTATCAGACTCTGCTTTCTCATCTCGTCCATCTCCTAGCTTGTTAGTGTTAGGAATAAGCCGCCTATTACACGGATGCGATCCTCCCCGTCTCATATCAGCCCGCAACCATGGTCCATAAGGCTTCTCCCCGGTCCCTAAATCACCATTCAGATTAGATGGACCATAACGATCAGCATGATCGAGAATCCCACATAGGAAGCAGAAATTCGAGAGTCTCTCATAACAAAAATTAGCCCAGATCCAACCATCTCCCTCTTGCCTAACATGTAAGCGTCTAGTCAAAGCCATAGTAATATTAAACGTGACTCTAAAGCGCAAAACCAACCTTTGCTTTCCACCAAGGGAGTCTTCATCCATTTGGACCAACGATCCGATACTATTAGCTATGCCATGAGCTGCCCTTGCCGTCATTTAGCTTAAGGGTAGGTTATGAACCTGAACCCAGAAATCTGCATGATCCAGTGAAACCTCCAAAGGTTTATCAGTGCGCCCCAGTCGTTTGATAACCACAAGATTCAGCTCAAAAGACCAAGGTCCTTCATCAACAACTCTGTTCAGATCGCCTTCATGATAGAACTGTAATAGGAATTTAGAATCCTCAACTTCATCAATAGATAGTCCTTTGACTGGTCGCCAAACCATAGCCATTGTTTGGCAAAAAGAAACGGAACGAACAAGTTTGTCGGAGCCCACTCTGGCCACAGCCGCTAGATTGAATCCCTCTGTAATCCCATCCACGTTCTCTGCCGGATCAGCCACTATCACCAACCCCCAATTCTCTTCCTCGGAAATTGACAACATGCTAACATTCCTCGATATCATTTCCATCACAGCACAAATCAGAATTTCAAGCACAAAGCAAATAAAACTACTGGAACAAGATAAACAGAATGATTGAACAACACTGCTTTCCACGGTAGAAGGAGGGGAGCAGCCGTCGTTTGTTCAGAGCAGAAAAACAACAATCAACCTCGGCCAAATTGAGACGGAAACAAAGCATGGGACAAGATACTCGGAGAAGAAAAACAAAACCGTCGAAACACGAGAAAAACAAAGAAAAAATCGCAACCTGGCAGCGGAGGAATCGAAGCGCCGATACTCCCTAATAGCACCGTCGCCTTTATCAGTTTAGGTCTCCCTTGAGAACCCCTTCAGAAACGCCGCTCCAAATTGCCGTCGAAATCATCGCGAAGCTAGGGCCGGCTGAGTGTTTCTTTTTGTCTTTCCTACTATTCACTATTTGTACTAAAGGTTTATTATTTATGGTGCAACAATATTCTTTGATGTCAATACATTTTATTTTCTCGTTTACCAATATAAGACTTTGATAATCAATATATTTAGATATTATCTCCACCGTGTTTCAATGAAATTAAAATTGCATGGTTAATATTAAATTTATTATATTAAGGATGTTTTCTTCAACTTGTATCAATATCAGACCAAATCAGATTTAGGTAGATTAGCTCAAATCACACGTCGACAGTTGTAAAATACACATAGATCAGACATCTATCGTACCAAACCAATTCAGATCAAAGTAGATCGTATTATACGTAAATAGATCATACCACACCAGAAAACTTCAGTCTAATTAAGACAACATAATAGGCTTGAACTACATCAAAACTATAAAATGTGGAATAAGTTTTGTGGCATCAACGAAAAAATGTGACACAAAAATGAATAAATTTGTATAAGTAAAAATAATAAGTTACTTATAGTTGAACTTAGAAAATTCTCACATGGAAAAACATAACAATATCTCAATCTAAAAGGGGGAATCACTTGCCGCAAACCTCCCCACACCTGACTCAATAAAATCATTCAAATAATGAGATAAAAAATTTATTTAATAATATTTATGCGTCTATATCTCATGCCACATGTGTACCGTGCACATTGTAGGATTGAAGATGCTCTAAAAATAGAGGGAGAGTTGACAGGGGAAAAGAAAAGAAATATAAAAAGTAGACCGGCTCGTGCACGTAGGTTATGCATTCTGCGGATGTCACGCCGGTGTTATTATAATCCCAAAATATTTTAGTCTTTTGTAACTTTTTTATTTGTTCTTCAAATTTCTCAAAAAATATATCAATGTTCATGAATTTTTCTGATTTTTCATATGATACCAATATGTAATATATAAAATCGGATTTTTTTTAAAAAAATTTAACTGTTGAAGTTTTCTTGAGCCTAAAAAAACATATAACACATATTTTTAATTCATGCAACCTTCACAAATAAGTGAATATTTCATAATCTAACTTTACCTGAAAGAAGTTTATTTTTTGTTAACCGAAAAACGTAAAAATAATTAATGAAATTTATTTATTTTTATATCGGAATATGTCTTTTTTATTTTATAATTAATCAGAGAAAAAATTAAAGGGAAAACATTACTTATAATAATTTAATTAATGTTTTACTAAATTGATAAGTACAAAAATGTGCAGAGTGTATTTTATTGACTATGCTAGAATGCAGAGAAATAGGAGTCAAAACACTGTTTTCATATGGAGGGAGTCCATTTTTGACATTTAGACTCTCTCACCACTCCAAGTGGTCTTAGAATAACATTGAAGGCAATGTTTTTAATTTAAAGAGGAAGAACGTTAGAATTACAATTGTGTCAATGTTTTCCCAAAAAGAATGTCTTTCTTCAATCAATATTGCAGAAAACCCCAAACAGTGTGTGTTTAGATTATACAATATTGAAGTAATTAATCAAAATAAAATGTGAAACTAATTTAAAAAATGAAGAGTTCTTCCGACGCCAATAAATTTAGTTTAATTCAAGAAATAATTACATAAATATGATCAAAATAAAGACGGTTTACAAAAATATGACTAATGACTAGAGTAGTAATGAAATCATAGTAATTCATGTTCAAGTTTTAAGCTTAAGTTACCACAACGTAACACCACATTGTAGTAATGAATAGTCATATTTATGTAAATATATTTTATTTTAGTAATATTCTTGTAAAAAAAACCTTAATTCAATCATTTATACCGTATAAATACATACATCTGATGAGAAGAAATATTGTTTTCAAAAGTATTATTAAAATAAAATGTATTTACAAAAATGTGACTAAAGTTACTGTACATGTGGGAGCGATTCTGGTGAGAAAGGACTCCCAGGGAAGAAAGGAGAATTAATCTGGACCGTTGGATTGTATAATGTAAAACTAAATAGAAATTGCTCTAAATAGGAGAAAAAACGTTTTAAAATTCCAAAATAGGAGTATCATGATTTTTATTCCCTAAATAAGAGTAATCTGCCAAATTTGGATAAAAAATATCATGTTTAAAGCCTAGTAATGCCAAACTTGGCCGAAATTTACTCTTATTCCAAGGAATAAAAAACATGATAGTCCTATTTTGGAATTTTAAACCTTTTTTACTCCTATTTAGGGGATTCTTTCAAAACTAAAATATGTGTTATATAAAATTGAAATGTGTAGGCTAAAAGGTTAAACTCAAATGCGCATTAATTAAAATTGAAATGTGTGGAATAAGAGGTACAAAAGTGGCATCCAATTGTACATTTTATTATCACATTTCCATTTCGTATTTTGCACATTTTTGTTTCATCTAATGTACTACTTAGCTTCACATCATGCCACTACATTGTACCTTTTGTACTACACATTTCAACTTCACGTAATGCATATTTTAGTTTCATCTAATACACATTGAATTTCACATAAAAAAATCTGACGGTCTAGATTCATTCTCATTTCTTTCCTAAGATCATTTTCTCGTAGAATGATTATGATAATATGGTCGGTTATTTCTTGTAAACATGTTGAGCAAGAGATGTTATTTGACAAAATAGTCTGAAAACGTTAAGCAAAAAGGGTAAAAGGCGCATTTGACATTAAACGATTAGCGGTTAGCAGATAGATGATTATTTTAAGGGGTTGTGAAAACGCCATAAAATTAGTACGAAATGTCATTTTAAAAACGCTAATCCAAAATCCTCATATTTGCGGCATTTCAATTTCATCAATTCCAACCAAAAATGTTCTAGCCAAAAAACTATTTACCTCATTTAAATGTCATTTTCCAAACACCCAAAAAATGATTAGCAAAGAAATCAAAGGTGGTCTTATCGATGCTCTGATTGTGGAGGCAGGTAAGTACATTGGATACGACTATGCATTATTACAGTTCGCACTTCACGGCTCATTCTGGCGGAGAATGCGGAAGCTGATGGTGGTAGAATTGCTCTCAAACAACACTCTCGAAAAACTAAAGCCTGTTTGGATGTCCGAATTAGACACCAACCTCAAAGAACTCTACAATGCCGTAGCAACAGCGGGGACATCACAGGCAGTGAACATAAGTGAATGGTTCGGGCACTTGACCTTGAACTTAATCGTCAAACTCATCAGCGGGAGACGATACAAGTACAACCCAAACAAGGCCGCCGCCGCTGGAGACGCTGCCGAGGAGGAGGCGCGATGTATCACTAAAGTATTCAAGGAAATGATGTGTCTCGCCGGGGAGCTTGCTCCCGGAGATTCATTTTTCCCGACGGGATTGGTCAGGTGGATGGATTTCGGCGGCCAAATTGCGTCAATGAAACGAGTCTCTAAGGCTATGGATGATATCCTGCAGAATTGGATAGAAGATCATAAACAGAGGAGGGAATCCAACGCCGAAGGCGGTGAAGAGGTTGATCGGGACTTCATTGACGTCATGCTTTCTGTAATTGACCAGAAATTCGAGTCCGGCGGCCATTCTTATTCACGGGAAACCATCATCAAGGCAGCATCGCTGGTATGTTGCTCCGTTTTCTATATGAATTTTAAAAATTTCCCGTGCCTCTCGTGTTCGAAATTAAGTTGTCTCCGTATGTTTCATCTGTACCAGGAAAACACAGGACATTAATTATAGAGAAATGTTTGGTGTACAAATTTTTGTGTACACCATTTGTATATTCGATTGCCTCACGTATAAAAAATTGTTTTTGTTCACATACAATTCTGTAATGATTTCCATTTGTAACGGAGAGAGTAATAAACTTGAAAACTAAAGACTAAGAGCCCGTTTGGTAAACCTGTTTTTCGGTTTATCGGGCTTATCAACCAACTATTTCACCAAACACGTAACTTTTGATTTCGCGGCTGAATCGTGTAATGATAGAAAAAGTAGGGTTGTAGTTACTTTTTTGGTTGTATTGGCTGAAGTTAATGTAGAGAACCATTTTAGCTATTTTACATATAATTTTTTCTCTATTTTATTAATAAAATATATTTTAAATACTCCGTATAATTTTTTCATAAATCAACAGAATCGGTCAATACATCCAATACAACCACTTCAGCCATAATTTTACTAAATCAGCATCATCCGCCAAATCAGCCGATTTTGGTATTATCAAACGGGCTCTAAAGTTTATGGTCAATTTTTGTACAGAGTATGTTAGCAGATGCAGCGGACACATTGGGCCTGAATATGGAATGGGTTTTATCCTTACTATTGAACAACCCGCAGGCAATGAAGAAAGCCCAAGAAGAAATAGACACCATAATCGTCGGCAACGAAAGATGGGCTGAAGAATCCGACATCGGAGAAATGGTGTATCTCCAAGCCGCCGTCAAAGAAGCCATGCGCTTATACCCGGTCGCGCCTCTATTAGTTCCCCACAGAGCCATAGAAGACTGCACCGTCGGCGGGTACACGGTCACGAAGGGCACCGTTCTGTACGCCAACGTCTGGAAGATACACCGGGACCCACGGGTTTGGCCGGAGCCGGAGAAATTCTCGCCGGAGAGATTCCTGGGGGCGGGAAGTTTGGATGACCGAGAGACTGCTCCGGGTAGGCATTTTGGGTTCATTCCGTTCGGGATCGGGAGGCGGTCGTGTCCCGGAATGTTGTACGCGAAGAAAGTAACGCATCTCACCGTTGCCCGTTTGCTTCAGGGGTTTGACGTCACGACTCCAGGGAATGTTCTGGTGGACATGGCGGAGGGGCAAGCCACCACTCTGCCTAGAGCGACTCCATTGGAAGTGCATATTACTCCCCGCTTACCTTCTGCTTTTTATCGATTAAAAGTTTAATAAGTGGCAAATCGCTTCTGGTGTGTTTCATTATCAAGTTATATTTGGACGCAAGTGTGTAGCTTCTTGAATCGGTGTGATGGTGTGGGCACAATCTGCCATGTTTATTTGCTTATTCTTAAGAATAAGGTGAACAACATGACACTTCACAAATAAATGATGTGTAATACTAAGTTATTATCTTATCATTTATTATCATTTATTTATTATTATTAGTGTGTAATTTTTAAATTGTTCAGTCACAATGTTTTAATTGATTCATATATGCGATTGTTTAGACGCAATGTTTTAATTGATTCATAAATGCAAGATGTGGTGATACAGTATCACAATGTTTTAATAGATACAGTATCACAATGTTTTAATTCGTATATGCAATCGTAGAATTTTTGTTTATAAAGGTTTTTCGATTTTGTTTACTTGTCTAAATAAAATTTCAAACTTTCTGTATATATAAATATTGAAATATTTAAAGCCTATTTCTACACTTGATTTGTCACGGATTGGATAAAATCGCTGAATTTGCTGAAATTTATTAAACTCGTTGAAATGGATGAATTGATTGAATCTGTTGAGTTATTAGAAAATTATATAATGCCGGATTTAAACCATACATTATTAATAAACTTAAGAAAGAATTTAAAGAAAAAAAAGAAAAAAATGATCTACTATAACTTCAAGCAATTCAGTCTAAAAAGTAATTCAAGGTTCACTGTTGAGGTTTATTCCTCAAGATATGAGAAACATTTTAGTGAGTTCTGTGTGTGAGGGGATACAAACAATAAATAATTAAATGGACACAAGGATGACTAAGTGAGTCGAGTTCTTATTAAGCAATAATAATAAACAATTACCACAACCCTATTGCTAGCCGAGACTAAGCGTCTAATCTGAGCTATGAGTACAGAATATTAGAGCTTATGCTAGTGAGTATAGATGTCTGCCTAGCCTTAACTTGGCAAGGGTATTGGCGACGAGCGCCACTAAACACGGACGAGCATCGGGGGCTTCTGATGCATTGGACCGTTTCTTGGCCCCTTTTTCATTATGGGGTATTGGACCGACCCTGTATTGGGCCATGACCTGCACTTTGTTGTGGTGTGCACTCAAAATAATTAATCAATACAACAATTATACCCCCTCCGTCCCCCAATTGAGTTATCACTTTCCTTTTTGGGCAGTCCCTAAATTAAGTTCACACTTTCTTATTTTCCTTATTTGGCAAATTATCTAAATCAAAACAGTGTCAAACAGTGCAAAACAGTGCCAAACAGTGTCAAACAGTGTTTGAACAGTGCAAAATAGTGCACTCCACAGTAAAGTCAAATTTATTTTCTTAATACGTGTGAAGTCAAACCGGGAACTTAATTGGGGGACGGAGGGAGTACGTAGTATAATGAAGTAAAGTTCGTATCCACAGGGAAAGGAATACTTCTCTTTTAATGAAATAGTAACAAGGGTTTTTTAGATTGTTATTCGAACTTTAAGAAAATTTAAACACTAAGATGAACGACTTATGTGTTTTAATTAATAGAGAGGAAGACTTGGTTTTGCTTTTATCCACTTAATGAATTGTTCGTCGATCCCGGTTATATCTTTAACTATCTTCCTCTCGAATACTCAATCGAGGAGTATCTCCATTTCATCGAGGGTAGTTATTAATAACGAGACGTGTTCGTTAATAACACTTACTACCGAGTCAATATAGAACACGTGTCGTACATTAACCCGATAGTAGCAATAAACTTAAGATGAAAACGATTGAGATTGATAACCTCAACGCAATCGGTTTATTGGTTTAATCAATAAAATTAATTCCCTTTAGATTGTTAACCATGAGATGCATGCATTAATAATCCAAGTTTACTACCGATGAAAGAACCGAATTAATAACAAGCGTATTAATCGATTGATTCTAGTAACAATTAATATATGAAACAAAACTAGTTGATCCTTCAAGTAATACTCAAAATATTAATATGAAATATGAATAGGAATTAATTAATATTAAAGGAAGAAGATTAAAGAAAAATAACGCTACTATAATTAATGTCGAAATGTTAACTAATTGTCATCTTAGCAACACTCCCCAACATTAATATAGAGATAGATTAAGTGAAGAATTAATATTCAAGGAAGAAGATTAAAGAAAAATAACTCACAACTTACAAGTTACAATCCATTAAGCTTCAAAGTAGCAAAACCAAGATGGAAGAGTTTAGCTCCTCATATGGAGACTAAACATGCAAAAAATATAAAGGAAATACTTAACTAAATTGAGCTCTAGAGTATATGTGAATTGATGATTTTATTGTGAAGAAAAGGGGTGTATTTATAGGCTTTTGGGAGCTGCAGGGTCTGATACCCGACCGGGTTTAGAGGATACCCGATCGGGTATCTTAGGAAATTTCCCAGAAAGTGACATTTCGGGACATACCCTATCGTGTATGTCAGCAAACCCTATCGGGTATGTCGGCATACCCGATCGAGTATGAGCCAAAAAGTCAAAATCCTGCACGTTTTTTTTGTCTTTCCAGATTCTGATTTAGACATCCGAATCAACTCAATACCCGAACGGGTATGTGAAATATTTTTTGAATCTTCTTTTATCTTGTCCCATGCACTTTCCTTGATCTTTTGGAGTAATCTTGGTCATTTGATGATCTTGACCTGTTTTAAGCTCAGAATAATCCTAATCTAAACAAATTACATCTATCTTGGAAAATAAACTATGTACACCAAAAGTGTGCAATTTCTCTAACCACAAACAATAAAAATAATTAAAAGTGAAATAATACATAGTAAAAATACGACATTATCATGCCAATTAACCCAACCCTTACTCATTTTTAGTATTATACTACACGACACTAATGGTTCGTAATCAAAAGTTACGTGTTTTGTAAAGTGAAAAATTAATTGGGGATAGGTTTAGATAGATTCGTCTTCACATAAAAGTACCCCAACTAAGACACTAATTGTTCCTAGTATTAATAAGGTTCTTGTATAATTATTGACAAGCACTTTGTCACGGTGCGTCAAAATAAATTCAATACTAAACACTTATACGTAGTATAGCGTAGTAGAGTTCGTATCCACAGGGAAAGGAATAATTCTCTTTTTATGACACTTAGTAAATAAAGGGGGGATTTGGTTTTGAGTGATTTAATTCAATTAAGAAACTAAGATGAACAACCTATATGTGTTTAATTCGAGAATAAAAGGAACTTGGCATTGCTACTTTCCACTTGTTGATATATTTTAGTCGATCATTGTTATATCTATAACTTATTCCCTCTCGAATACTCAATCGGGGAGTATATCCACTTCATCGAGGGTAGTTATTAACAACAACCGTTCATTAATAACCCTTACTATTAATCAAATATAGAACAACGCCTTATACCGATTTAATAGTAGCATTTAATCTTTCTAACTCCTTGATGAAATCAATTGAGATTGATAACCTCAACACAAACGGTTTCGGTTTAACCAACAAAATTAATCCCTCTTAAGTTTCTTAACCACGACCGTGCATTAATAAACCGAAGTTACTTACTTGTGAAACCATCAACGATTAACCATCGGTTCGTTGATCGTTTCTAGTAATAATTAATATATGAAACAAAACTAGTTGATCCTTTAAGTAATGTTCAAAATATTAATATGAAATAAGAGTAGGAATTAATTAATATTCAAGGAAGAATATTATTAAAGAAGATGAATCCTACTATAATTAATATCAAGATGTTAACTAATTGTCATCTTAGCAACACTCCTCAACATCAATATAGAGATGGTATTAAGGAAAGAACTATTAATTAATATTCAAGGAAAGAAGTTAAGAAAATAACTCACAACTTTAATAATCAACAAGCTTCAAGAGCAACACCAAGAATGGAAGTTTAGCTCCTCATTTGGAGACTAAACATAGCTAGAAAAATATAAAGAAATGCTATTCTAAACTGAGCTTAAGAGTATGGAAGAAGGGATGATTTTTTTGTGAAGAAAAAGTGTGTTATTTATAGGTGTTTTCAACACCTTTGGCCGGGTACCCGACCGGGTCAAGTACTCACCCGACCGGGTCCATGTCAAAATCAAATATCCTCCACGTTCTGGCGATCTTCAACATGTTAAAGTGTCCGGGTCAAGTCAGACCCGACCGGGTGAGTGCAAAAATTGGATATTCTTCACGTTCGGGTGATCTTTGCACACCGGGTTGTCCCCGGTCACTTCTCACCCGACCGGGTGAGGTAGTGGGCCCGACCGGGCCATGCACTTTCTTTGCATTTTCGTTTTTCACTTCTTACCCGACCGGGTCAAGTATTATACTCGGTCGGGTATTTGCTCCTGGGCAGCCAAATCTTCTTTTTCTTCACTTCAAAGTCTTCCTTTCCAAAACCACAAATCCTAACTAAACTTTACAACTGACAAATAAAGACTAAAATACAATTACAACTGAAATCACATAAATGTTTACAAACTAAATAAAACGTCAAACAATTAACATAAATCAAACATAAAAACATGTAATTATGCACTACTAATTAGTGTGCACCAATTATATATATATATATATATATATATATATATATCCATTTAATATGAACTTAAAGAAGAAGAAACCAAAATCCTCAAAAAAACATGACTTTTCATAAAAATTTCAGATTTCGATTAAATCCATGTAAGTATTTTGTGTAGATCACTTTTCAAGAGTAGGTAATCTCTTGTCTAAATAAAATTTGAAACTTTCTGTAAATATAAATATTGAAATATTTAAAGCCTATTTTGGCACTTGAAATTGGCTAAAATCACTGAATTTGTTGAAATTTATGAAACTCATTGAAATGGTTGAATTGATTGAATCTGTTGAGTTATTATAAAATTATATAATGCCTGATTTAAACTACACATTATCAATAAACTTAAGAAGGATTTGAAAGAAAAAAAAAAGCAAAAATGATCTACTATAACTTCAAGCAATTCAGTCTAAAAAGTAATTCAGTCTAAACAAAAATGATCTACTCATCAATTGCCAATTATTACCATTTAATTACCAGGTTTTGACAACATATTTTTATTATAATTGTTACACTTTTCTACTCATGGATCTTTACTAATAATCTCTCAGGTCCGTTGAATACAATCTCTCCCCTCATAGCCCTCACTGCTGAGGTTATCCTATTTTGGTGGGTGTTCTAAAAGGTATTGTTTTTGAGCATGTTCTCTTTTTTTTTTGTTTCTGAATATTTGAAAAACATTGTACAGGGGAGAAAATTCATGCTTCTAGCAAAGAAGAAAAGATTTACCCATAGTGAAAG